TCCCCTTGCTGCTGGCACAGATGTTCACGGGCTCTTGCAGATGAACATAAAAGGGCAGTTTTGCAATGTGAATGAAAATAATTATTCTTATCACTTCGGACTTTTTGTCAATGAAATAATGTGACATATATTTAGTTACCAGAAATGAAAAGAGAACCTCTATGTGAAGCATTTAAAATCTGGTGATTAATTGACTCGACAGGCAAAGATCTTTTCATCACCTGACTTCTAAAGAAAGGACAAGATGAGCATAAAGGGGTTTCCTTCAGTAACATATTTTATGGGTAGGTTTCTATCTTTCCTTTTTTCTGATCTTTAGCAATTACCAAATTAGAATATAACTACCTCGGCACAGAATATGTAGTTTTTACACAGAGACACAGTCCACAGGAATTCTTATGTACCATTTTCATGAGTGTTAACAACAGGCAGAGTATTGTACGTTTGTTTAATCAAAGATGAAGGAAGCTTTTATCAAATTAAATTACTGCCTTGGTTCCATCTTATTCTTAATAGCTTAAGTCAATTGGATTCAAAGATGTCTTCAGGACTGAATCCAGGAAAGAGTATTTGTTGTCTCCAAGATGCAGAGAACACCAGAAAGTAAATGTAATCCCACTCAAAATCCATGGGAACCTAATAAACAGCAGCGATATTTAACTGACATTTCAAAGCTCAAAGGCAGAATCATTGCATTTGTTAGCCTTTAGTCTCATTCCTTCATGGTGCTTTAGTGCTTGAAACTGGATACAGCAAAAACTTGTCAAATATCACAGAGATCAAAAAAGTGAATTAATTTACTGAAAGAAAAATGTTCACAATCAGTGATAGAAGTTCATATTGAGCTGCAGAGTGCAGTGGCTGATCCTAAGTTTAGTTATCCAAGTTTCAAGTCAGACTATTTCTATTGGCAATGTTATACAACTGTGGGGAGACTCCAGTGTAAAGGACTAAATAAAAATATCCACATTTCAAAGAATCAACATTGATACTGCCTCAACTAATCCTTCACTTGCTTCTGTATTCAAAGCAACAAGGCACCTGCTCTGGTAGAAATATGGATCACTTACACCCTCCCCCTGTCTCTGTCAGCACAGGTATTTCACAACAAATCTCATTTGGGTAACCTCCAAAGCCCTAGACATATGCAGGAATGACCTGGTCCTCATCCAAGTGGATTTATTGATGAGGGGAAAGGAGATGAAAGAGAGGTGGCACAGCTCTGCTTCAGAGCTTGGCTCTGCAGGCACAAAGCTCCTGCTCTCAGGGATTATGCCTCAAAAAATGGTATTGGAAGGTGTGTGACATACCTCAGGGGCTTCTGTTGGTTATACTGATTATGGTGAATAAAGAATGCTGCTAGTCATCCTGCCATTTTCTAATGGGACTATTTCTACACAGGTCAGGAACGCACAGCACATGGACAAAATACTCACCAACAAACATCAGTTGATCTGAAACTCACTGAACAATGGGAAAACATCTATTTTGGACTATTATATTCATGTTATCAATGATACAAGTATGCATGGGTTAGACAGAGTAAGCAGACATGGTGACTAAAGAGCAACGTTGCTGCAAACAGCATTTCTTTGCAGATTTAAGTTTGATTCAATTTAAAGTTTAGACATAAGAGTATTATGGTATGACATTTGCAAGAGTTGTTGAAGATGGTAATAAATTCATAGAATTAGCTTCACCTGAACAGCCCAGATCCAGTGACTTCAGAAACACATAATAATCCACATCCCAAATACTAACCCTGTATTTCTTAGTTAAAAATCTTATGCCATTGGTCAAAAATCATCATTACCTATTAAAGATTTTTATGTTCACATGTGATCCACTGACTAGTCCCTCTCCACAACTCGTGGCAAGTGTTCAGCATATAGAAACAATCACTGTAAGTCACAAAACCTTGTTCATTTTTCCCAGGGTCTAAGAATGTCTGTAGGCACATCACAGGTCTTGCTACTATACTGCCACTTTCCTAGCAGGGGCTTACATCAGCTACTCATGGAAAGAAAATAAAAACCAGGACAAATATAGAATAATCTCCTACCTACAAAGTGGTTCCCTGCAGATAAGGCCAAGCTGACTAGGGTGGTAGGGGAATGAACTGGAAACATCAAAGGTGCCAACCTTTTTGCAGTCCTACAACAATACTTGTGGGTAGACAGTGGGAGAGGTCACATTGGCCCCAGGAGTAGCTTTATGCAATGTTTCAATCTCAAGTGCAACCTCAAGCCTGGGTTTGACAGAAAAAAAAAAAAAAGAAACTGGGACAGCCATCACACGTCCTCTTAGTCAGACAGGAAAACTTCTACCATCTATTCTACATCTATTGTCAGCTTTCCTGAATTATATGAAGTGAAGTTAGGATAGAAAATTCCCTATCATTTTTCAAACCCAAATGAGAACTGAGCAAAATATTTCACAAGTGAAATCTGTACTACACAGTCACATTTCTTGCTGAAAACAAAGTAGGAACTTAACGTCTAAGTTTTGCAAAAGGCAATGTTCAGAAGTATCTCTAAAGTCAATGTCCTCCCAGACTAAAATCTTGACTCTCCCATTCTAAAACTTTAAGACTAGAGGAAAATGATGGTATCTCTGCAATAATTACTGCCAGCAATTTGATTTTCTAAAGGCACTAATTCAACACAAAAATAGCTCCCACATCTCTGGGATGAAAACTTTGCCCCATACAATATGCCTCATCATAAATTATCTGGTAAGGATAAATCTTTTAGAAGCCATGAATGGTGTCGCAGGACCAATTCACTAAACCTGCCATAACACACTTGAGAGATAATTGAGATGTCAAGTCTCATCAATATCAACCAACTTAACTAAGGACAAGAGGAGAGGGGAAGAATGATAATGAATAACACCATTATGTGAAGGTAGTTAACTCACAGCCTAGAAACAGATACATATCAGTCACCAATCTGAACACCCTTGAATTTCATGAAAGTCTGGACTTATAAGCATTTCTTCATTTCTTAAAAAGCTTCTTTCCAGAGTTGTAGTCTTTTTTAATATTTTAACTCCCAAGATTTAACTTTTTTTTCCTCACTCTAACTTAACACACAGGAGGTAAAACAATGAGTTTGGACAGCACACAGAAAACACCAGTAAAATACTATTTAAAAAAAATCTCTTTCTGATTAGGCAGAGGAAGCAAAGAGTCAGATCTCTCAAGAGCTCCAAGTCTCAGAGGAGGTTTCTGCCAATTTTCAGTGCTGTGAATTTGTTCCCTGTGTCATTCTCAGTTACTGGCTGTATATCTCCTGCTAATCAATACACATGCACATGCACTCCACATTACTTTCTCATCAAAGGTCTTGCATCGCAGTTACTGTTCACTCACTTTGAAAACTGACATTGATCACAATCCTGTTTCCTTCCTCTCTTTCTTTTTCCCTATTTCCCACCCCCTCCACTCCTCCTTGTGTTATCCCCCTCTCACAAAGTAGCACCTCGCTCTCTCCATCTGCTTCTTCAACCATCTGCTCACTCCTCCCTTCTTGCTGAATAACTACAGTCTCTCTCCATAGTCTCCATGTAGCATCACTAAAACTCTTTTCCTTTTCTGTTCAAAAACACTAAGGACAGAAAGCTTTCTACTCTAGACCTTGATGGAGGAGAGGGTGCAAAGCACATTTCTCTGAGTTCAATGATCCTCTGCCTTGAAAAGTGTAAAATCCTTTGTAAGCTTCATGTTTCATACTGCTCCTCCTCATTTCATTCAAAATGCCATGGACAAACTGATCTTTCCTTGACGGGATGTTCTGGACATTACATCCCACTCCTAAAATGAACTTCATTAGCCATTTACATCCCCCAAGATTTTTAGATTCCCCATCTTCAGGACCACTGCCCTGAGCAGCTCCCTCTTCTCGCTTGGCACCTGGTGCCATCCCCTGACAGTTCTGTTTGGTTTGCTTTGATCTCATCCCACAAGCACTTCTGTGCCTTCTCCTATTCAGGCACTCTCTGCCTGGAATCAGCTCTTGAAGCTGTTTACTACTCAATTTCCCTCTTGCTTGCCCTCTCTTTTCTATTCCGTCAAAGACTCTCATCTTTTCCACACACAAAACTAAAGAGCCCTTCAATTCCTGATGGAGAGGAAAAATATTACATTTAAATACCATCAAACATCCATTTCCAAGCCTGTGCCTTCTTTCTAAAACCCCTGGCTTTCTATTGTGTATTTTATTCCCCTGCTTTGCTTCCTTTCACAATCCTTCACCTCCCAGTACTCACATTATACATTTCATTATGCCTAATCATTTCCTGTTCATCCCCTTCATTTATGCCTTTTCTCTTGTGTTTTTCAGTGAATATGGCACGTTACTACCAGATCTTGTTCTGCCTGAGAACAGCCTACCTCATTCCAGGGGATAAACAAAGAACATAGCAATTAAAATTCAGAAAGATGAAATCAGAAAGATGGCATTGACATTTTTTCCCCCACCCCCTCTTCCCTGCTCTCAACAGCTACTGACAATTGGAAAATTTCAACCATCTCTAATAAACAACAGACATTTGTCCCAGTTTCCTAAGAAAGCAAAGCTTGTGTGATCACATCCTGCCAAGCAGTTCCATCCTAACCCCTTTTGTACTCTTTAAGTTAGTATCGAACAAAGAATATGAAGACAGTGAGGACCCAAAGGTTCAGTATGTGCCTGTCTTGGGAGGAGTCAAAGCACCTCAAGCACATGCCTAGCACATGGTAAAGGGAGGGAAGCACCGAGAGGGGGCAAGAAAACAAAACAATTCTGTTAAAGTCAACCTCCCTTAGCTTCCCTGCTTATAGTGGGGTATAGTCTTTGATTACTTCACCTAACACCAAACCATCGCCTATTTCTTTTTCAGATCCACTTCAAGGATCAGAAGATTAAGAACATAATTGTGATGCACCAATATCTGTAATACAGATGAAGCATTTTCCTCTTTGTCTACCCCAACCAGAAAAAGAACAATATGCTCTCTACCTTTTCTGAATTATACTGGGATTTGCAGTCACCAGCTGCGTTTTCGATCCAACGTCCTTGCTGTACTCACTGGATAGAGGAGGAAGGTTACACCTGTGCAAAGAAATACAGTCAAGATTATAAAAAACATTCAGGACTGACAGCCTTAGGAAAATGTAAAAGTGCTGTGTAAATACTAGACTAAACTACAAATCTGCCCTACTGCACCTACCTATAAGCACAATAGGACATTTTTGTAGCAAATTGTGGGGAAACACAGAAATAAAACCTTTTGCAGAGATGATCTCTGTGTAGCTACTAAGCAAAAACAAAGGCACACACTTGGCATTTTTGACAAGCTGAGGAAAAGGCTGTTATTATCTATAGAAAAGACCTCTTTTTCAATCCAAACTCTTTTAAAGTTCTGGTTTTCACTCTGTTCTGTCTTGTTTACCAGTATCAGACTCCAGACAGTTCCCACAGTCTGTGGTATTAGAAGCATTACACATCTTGCAAGCAAAAGTGGCACTTTCTGTATGTTAGTACCTTCAGAATGCAGAATTTACCATGAAAACACAGGGAAAAAAATTAAGTGGCTATTTAAATATGTGCATCTCAGCTTTGTTTACAATCTTGTTCTGATGGGCAGGGTGGTAACATAATAAAGAAAAAGCAACTGAGCAAATGTACTTTGGAAAGCAGGGAGCTAAGACTACAAAAAATCAGAAGTAGAGAGAAACATCACACAGTGAACAGTCCTAAATGTTCCATAGCAAGGACCAAGGAGAAGAAAGGTGCAGTGGGTAAAGATGAAAATGCATTCAAACAGGTGTAGTAGATAAAGATGAAAATACATTCAAACAGTATCCAAGTCTATGCACTGCTCCAAATATTACTGTCAGGAGAAATCACAACACACAGAAACTGCACTAAAAAGCTAGTTTCAAAAAAATTTTTATTTCAAATTTGTCCAACTTTTAAAATAAAAGATTTGAACAATACTTTTAATGCTTAAAAGGCAAAAATGAAAATAGGATTCTCAGAGACAAGTTGGATTTTTCTTCAGAGAAAGACTTTCAGTTGTTTATGTGTTGGGTTTTGGGGTTTCATTTAGGGCTTTCTAAAGAAAAAGAAAAACAAAACTCAGTTTTGAGCTCTACAATAACCAAATTAGCCCTCCAACTCTGAAGTCCCGCCATCAAAGCAAGACATCCCATTTGCACACACTGGTTTCATTGGTTTTCTGCAGCACACAGGGAAAGCACAGCACAAAGAGGAAGTCTACAAGGTATAGAAAGGTGAGGGACATGCTTGGGTACCAGTTCCTGCCTTTTCCTGTCCCATGGAAAGCGTGTGCTGAGCAAACGCTGACCCTAAAGGAGGGGTCAAGCTGCCCCTGGTTGCTTTAAGCTCTGCAGTCACCCTCACAGAGGATGAGGCCCCAGCACTAGAAGAGGGCAGGCAGTGGTGCACAGTTCCACTTTCATGGCTTCTCCTCTCAGTATCAGGGAGACATAGGGTCCTTTGATGAACATCTTACACCTGGGAAGAGCTTCATCAGTTTCACAGAATCACAGAATATTCAGAGTTGAAAGGGACCTACAAAGATCATCAAGTTCACCTCTTGGCCCTGCACATCCCCAAGAATCACATTATGTGCCTGAGAGCATTGTCCAAACATTTCTTGAGCTTGGGGCCGTGACCACTGTCCTGAGGAGCTGTTCCAGTGCCCAAACATCCTCTGGGGGAAGAACTTTCTCCTAATATCTAACCTAAACCTCCCCTGACACAATTCAGGACATTCCCTTGGGTCCTATCACTGGTTGCCAGAGTTTTTCTCACCATCTTATGCATTAACCTCTCTTTAGCACTCCAGGCAGTCCATATCAGTCATGAAACCCTCCAGTCCAACAACAAGTTTCTTCTCTGATCTTTTTATCTCAACAATTCAGAGGCCCATTTCCTATACTAGTGAGAGGCAGGAGCTAGGGAAGTGAGATGTGGTTAAATTTTTACTTCAGTTTCTAGGGCCTACTGCAGAACCTGTTGGGTTGTTGCATTACAGGTTGCCATTCTCTGCTGCTGCACTGGGGAAATCACTGTCACACAAGGAAAGCCACAGCAGTTGCTGCCTCTGCGCATTCCACTGACTTCTGCAGTGCTTGGAGAAGCATTCCAGGTGTGTGTGACAGCAGAATGAGGCTGCACAAATTCCTGGCTGCACCTCCACGTGGCTTTGTGCAATGTCAGTGCCCGGAGAGGGCACTAGTGTCCACATGGCATATTCCCTGCAATTTTTGTTAATGCAGAGGAGTGGAGATCTAGCAATAGGTTGCTTCCTGCACCTGCAGTGGGTAGGATACAAATTAATCACATTAATACTATTTGGAGAGATTGTAGAAGCTCCCTCAGTAGCAGTTTTCAATGGCAAGTCAAACAAATATTAGAGAAGGAAGATACATAGGTGATTTGCCTTAGGGCAGATTACAGTTTAATGCTCTCTGATTTGAATAAATACAAGCTCACAGAACAAGCTTTTAAGAAACCATTTTTGATTGAAGCTTGTTTAAAGGCACTCTGAAGGACTAAGATCTCACCCTAGTTTTTATCATCTCAGCATCTAAATAATGAAAATTCTTTCATAAGCCAGTCCCAGATGCACTATTTAAACACATCTAATTCCTTTCTTCACGAAGTCTCATTCCTACCTTGTTGTGCATGAAATACTATGAAATGGCCTGAGTGTCCAAAGAAAACTGCAAGAAATCAGTTGGTTAACAGAAAGTTCTTGGCCTCTCCAATTATTTTTAATAGGTCAGCAGAGTGCTGTGTTGTGCAGGTGAGACACATCAAAACTTATCCTAAGAAACTTCTTTTTCATTCTCTTACTGTCACACCGGGTACTGAGGAGCAAGTATGTGAACATGCAGGAAGAAAGGAGATACCATCAAAATAGAGACAAAAACAAGGCTTTGGGTTAGTACCCAATATTTCTGTCTCAAAATAACAATTAGCAGGGAAAAGAAATATTTTTTCTTAGAAATAAGGGTAACAAACTTGAAAAACAGACAGGTATCAGAAGAAGAGTCCACTGTAATCACATTATCTGAACACACAGATCATATGCCATGCAACTTTTTCATTGCAGATGTAGTGTGCTATGTCTTGGGGGCTGAAAATTGCTGCTCTTTTAATCTCTATGTTGGAACAACTGTGTTTGTAGAAGATGCTCAGCAACAAGATCAGTTTCAACTCATTAAATAGCCTAAGTGATTACAGCAGATGAGGGAAGATGGCTGCAATCACATGGCAAAGCTTATGAAATACAAGGAAGTTAAATCAAACCCCATGTGAATGGAAGAAAAGAACAAGGACAAAACCTGGCACGGCATTTCACACTGCAGAAATACTTTGAAGATATTATACAAATTTCTTTTCAAAAAATGCAATGCAAGTCACCACTGTGCTCTTTCAGCCCTCAGATTACAGAAATCAGATTTAGAAAAGATCAACTAAATCCTGTCTTTCACCTGCTGTAAAAATATTTTATCCCAGTGGTGTATTAGTTTCTAACCCAAAAGAATTGAAGCATTTTCCATAAATATGACTGCACATCACTAATTCAATACAGCTTGCAGACAGTGATTGGGATTTTTGCAGGATTCTCCCTATCACTTATTTCCAATTCAAAATAAGTTCTGTACAGAAAATGGTTGCTTTACCCTCCCTGGAGAGAAAAGGGTTTTTTTCTGATCAAGATACAATAACTGCTGGGGGTTTTGGCTTCTTTTAAATCTATTGTTTTTACAACTGATTGCTCCTACAGCATTTCAATTTCCCATTGCATTTAGACAATATTACCATGGTATATACCCTGCAGTTTCTTATATTTAGCCTGTGGAACACCTAAGGAGTTGTGCAGTGATGGCAATCAGGGCACTGCCTCTCTTTCTCTCCCCCTGTGCCTTACATATTTTCTGCTCTAAGAATACATTTCCTTTTGTCTTTAGTTTGTTGTATTGTTTTGCTTTAACATTGAAGGTATTTTTTGCCTTTGAGATGCAAAATAGAAATTACAGTAATACTGTTTGGTTTGCAGCAAGTTTGTATGGCTTTATAATGAGCCATCAGGATCTAATAAGGAGACTTGCTCAAGTGGGTGTTCATTATGCATCCATCTCAAAACCCAAAGAAATTTCTCATTTCTTTGGGAGCATTCCTCCAGTTTCTCCCCCACAATATTTCTCTTGTTCATGTTTAACAAGGAGAAACTAATTTCTTTCTTTCTTTCTTCCTTAAAGATCACAGCCCTAAAAAGTGCCAAATTCAATCACAAAAGCAATAACTGATTCACCATCCCTTCTGACAGGTTCTTATAAGTGGAGGAAGGCTGAAGGGAAAGGAAATGTGAGGAATCCCAAAAACCCTGCATCAGGGAAAAAGGTTTGGCCTTTCCTCAGACAGTCAGCCAGAATTCAACCCTGAGGGAAGAAAAACAGGAAGATTTTAGCTTGTACCAATTAAGTTCTTAAGCCATAAATCAGCACCAACTCTTGAGTTCAGTGGGTTGCATTTAGAGTTGCAGAGGACAGAGCATGCTGCAGGATGAGACACTGCATAAATAATGAGAGGAGCAGCTCCTCAGGACCTCCTTGAGACACTCTACAACCTGCCACAACCTTAACCACCAGCAGATTGCACCCCACACTGAACACCCAGTTGCAGAAGGCAGTTAAATCTCTATTTCCCCTCCTCACACTTTTCCCCAAATTGCTTGCATAAAGCATCCCTGCAAAGGCAGAAGAAGAAGGCAAATTATAATTGATTAATCACAACTGACTAGCTTTGAAAAGTCTGAGACATAGCAGGGGAAAGGGGAGACAATGTCTGGTTGAGGTTTCTGTCTTACCGCATGACAAAATCTGCTCGATCTATTTGTTTGCCACAGCCGCTCTTTTTCAGGATTCCACCGTTTCCCACCACGGAGCATTTCTTCAGTGGCAGCTGGAAGGGAGTAGCCTAGCAACACAAAACAAGGACTGGTTTTACAGAGGAGAACACACACATCTTTGTAGCAGTCGCTCCTGGAGAACCCCGGGAGCTGGCAAGGCTCAAAGTGACAAAAGAAAACGGAGAATTAGGAGCTAAGGAAAAAAAGAAGTACAGAAATTAGCTGGTAAATTGATGTAGGACAGGTCTTATCCCCAACTCCCCAAACCAGGATGCAACAAACATGATACAGAAGATAATAACATTTCTGCAAAACCAAAACTGCCTGAAGTCCTGATGTAGATAGTGACCAAGCCAGGCAGACCATGAGCCTTCTAGGCAAGCTGCAAGGACACAAGGGAAATAAGACAACTAGGAAAATAGCAAAATACAATCCATGAAGTGATTTTCCTGAGCAAACACAAAAGACACCTTTGGGGAAGAAAGGAAGGAAGGGAACAAGGTGATGACAGAAGGGTGCTGGGAATCTGGAGTCATGCTGGTTCCCTGCATGGTGTTACTGGGATGGGTCACTCCAAAGCCTTAGGCAAAGATATTTGGAGCTTGACAGCAGCTCCTTAAAGAGTCAGCTGCCCAGACACAGTATAAATTAAAATTAGAAAGGGACCGTTTTACCTAAGAAGCTCTTGTAGCTGCTTAGCAGGGCATAAAAGAGCAAGGTCAAATTGTCATGCTATCCTGTGCATCAAACAGTAATAAAATAGATCTGTATAGTCTTCTCCATTCCAGAGGATCTCAAAACTACACGTGGGACATCTTCCTGTCAGCCCCAAGTCATTCACCTTTGGCGAGGTCGGGACAGTCACTTAAGCAGCACACAGTGTAGCAGTGCAGCAAATAAAAACACAGGTGGTGAAGAAACCGAATTTATAGCAGTGTGATTTACTTATAGAATGGGATTTGTCAACAATATAAAAGTTAATATTCTCCTCATGCAAAAAAAAAAAGTGCAGGGATTTTCATTTATCAAACCTGTCAAAACCTGCCTTTGCAGCAGAGACAGAAGTTACTGCACAAGCCTCTGAGAATGCAGATGCCACGGCGACAGGCTGCAGCATCACACAGCAGTTCTCTCTGGGAGGACGAGGCAGAACAGCAGCAGTACTTGGCTTCACTTACATGTACAGAGCAATGTCTGACATTGCATCATGTATTCACCAGGCATTGCAACAGAGTACATGGTGCAGAAAACAGATCCAGTGTTACAGCACAAACTCTGTCTTTGTTAGGACTTACTCTTGCTGTCTTACATACTTTGCTGTCTTACTTGCTTTGTCCTCTTTTCTCTGCAAACTAGATTCTGTTCAGCTACTGTAAAGACACAACCTGCTTTCTAATGACAAACATTAAAACATTTTGCTTATCCTAAGTCTGGATTAAGATATGCTAAAGCAGAAAAATAAATTTTAGCTTCCTGAGGCCCAGCCGTGGTTAGGAACCCACTGACAGCACAGGGAAGCAATACTAAGTATGCAGCTGCATTCTTGTCCTGCTTCTGTCTTCTCAAGAACAATTTTTCATTTACAGTTATTGAACTAGGAGCATATCTTGAGATTCAAAGGACATCTCATCTCTGAGGCAACCCTGACCAAATGAGAGCTCACAAACTCAGTAAAGGAGGGGGGTGAGGGGGTAGGAATGAGGAAATGTAGATGAGATATGTTTTATAAATAACTGCACCTTTCTTATTCAAGGTATATCAAAGCTCCTTCCAAGACAGCTAGTTATACAAAGGCAAGGCTGTGACAAACCACAGACAAAGGCAACAGGATTAACTCTTGCTTTTAAAAGTAGTAATGCACTGTCACATAAATTCTATGCCTTTAGTACGTGCTGAGTGGCTTTAGACCCCCAAAACAACATTCAGGTGTTACTAAATGCCTCCAAATTCTGTAAGTTGCAAATAGCCTTTGATATTGCTTGGGATGACTTGCTGTCCTTCAAGGAAGACTCATAACCTGTCATGCTCAAAGACAGTATCAGTTTTCCTTTGCATACATACTTGGGTTTCCAAAAGCATATGAAGCTTTAAAACTCTTGTACTTCTATTGTCCCAAACAGAGGCTTGCTCCCCAGTGCACAAGGTCAATTCGCACACCAAAGTGAGGTATTTCTATTTCTGATTCTAGCTTGTGCAAAGTAGGGAGCTAGGTGGGAACCTACAAGCTTCCTGAAACTCTGTTATTTTCATTGTCAACACAGTTGTTATTTTCTTCATTCATAAAATTTTCATGAACAGTCAGAGTCTTGTGGGTGGACTGGAAATATAGTGCAGTGTCAGTTTATCTAGTGCAATGGAGAAAATGTGAAAATAAATGACCAACTCACCTCCATTTTTAAGCACTCATTATCACAGAATTTGCAAATACTGTTAACTAAAAACACCTTGAATACTGGAAATAAGCAGGATGAACTGCCTTTAAAAGTAAGTCAACTAATTTAAAAAGGATTGTGTATGATTTTTTTTAAGGTATCTCCAAACAAAACCAAAGCCATGGTCTCATTTTCTCATTGTCTCATTTTCCCAGGTTTAAAACAATGAAACTCCACTAACAATCAATGAAGCTGTTCTAGTTCATATTCATGTAAACCAAAGAAGAACCTGCACACCCCCCTGAGAATTCAATGACAAACAAGCACACAGAGCAATAGGTTAAACACTCCCAGTTGAATATGGGACTAATTTAACAAAGCATCTCTCCAGCAATTCACTGATTAGTTTCATCATGCATCTAAGTAGAAATAAATCATTGTCATCAGTTAAAAGAACATTACACAGTACTAACAAAAAATAATTTATTTTAGATAACACTACTCTAAATTACTTCGATTTCATTGTTAGGTTGTTAATGCATTAATTTTTGCCCACTCCCTGCCAAAGATTTTAATCAGCAACCAAGTTTTTACTAGAAAAACAGGAAAAATTACAGTATGCAGCCTGATGTAATGCTGAAGATGTCAAAATCATTGAAAACACTGAGAGTATAAATTAGAATAATTTCTTTTTAAAAGAAGCATTTTGAATTTGCAAGAGATGCTGTGATTTTACTGTCCCTTTTGAGAAGACAGCATCTTGATGAGAAGGGTGTTGTTCTACTGAATTTCCTAAGGAGCCAGCAAAACCCTGAGGGTTCACAAGAAACCAAATTCAGCTCTCAATAAAACATTTTCCTGCACTTTTGCATAAGGAAGCAGCTGACAGTTTAAAAGACAGTTCTCTGTGTGTCAGCATCAGGTAATGTGACCTTGGCTTTTCACACTGTCAGACAAGGCAGGGTGGTAAGTGGTCCTTTTTCATTGTTTACAAATCATCTTCGGTCTGATGGGCCCTTTTGTTCCACCTACAGAGCTGTCAAGACACCACAGCTTGAGGCAAGAGGCTCCAAAACCCATCAATGTCAGGGATAGCATATTCTCTGTAGGGGAATGTGGTGGGTAGATGTGGTTCCTTGCATTTCACTCACTCCTCTCCACTTGGTCCTCCTCTCCTGGTACAGGAACCCAAAGCAAAGAGTAGCCACTGACAGTAAGGTAACAGGCATAGAATCATAGATTGGTTTGGGTTGGAAGGGACCTTAAAGATCATCCAGTTCCAACCCTCTGCCATGGGCAGGCATATACCACTAGACCAGGTTGCTCAGAGCCCCATCCAACCTGGCTTTGAACATTTCCAATGATGGGGCAATGACAGCTTCTCTGGGCAACCTGTGCCAGTGCCTCACCACCCTCACAGGAAGAATTTCTTCCTAGTATCTAAACTACACTTTCTTCTCTTTCAATTTATACCCATTACTCCTTGTCCTGTCACTAATAATTATGAATAATAATTACAAATATTAACAAATAACCTGAGCATGTTTTTTCAGATTCTGGACTCAGATACTACCAAACCCAAATATTTGACTACAAAGTGATCATTACGAGAAGAAACTGTGACACTTGTCCTGTATAATTATGAATAATAATTACAAATATTAACAAATAACCTGAGCATGTTTTTTCAGATTCTGGACTCAGATACTACCAAACCCAAATATTTGACTACAAAGTGATCATTACGAGAAGAAACTGTGACAGGGACTATGAAATCCATCATAAGGAAGAGATCCTACCATGTACATCCACCTTATTTCTTCTACCTTCTAGAAGGTAGCTGGACCTCCTACAACAACCTGACAGGGGGTTAGAGACAGGTGGAAGATAGTCTCTCCTGCCATGGCTGCAGGGAGAGGACTAGAGGGTATGGCCTTAAACTGAAACAGGGAAGATTCAGATTAACTATTAGGAAAATTTTTTTTCCCTGTTACGGTGTTCAGGGAGTGGAATAGGCTGTCCAGGGAGGTGGTGGAGTCACCATCCCTAGAAGAGTTTAAGAGGTATCTGGGCCTGGCACTGAAGATATGGTTTAGTGGTCACAGTGGAGTGACAGATTAAGGGTTGGACTTGATTATCTTAGAGGTCTCCTCCAACCTTGATGATTCTATGACTTTTCAGTTTACTCAGGCTCTGCCAACTAGCACATTTTGAAACCTGAAGCTCATTGGTCATACAAGAGAAAAGTTGTCCAGGTGGGACAAGCTTCTCTGTAGGTCCACAAAAGCATGTCTCACTCATGACAGTGGAGTCTTTATCCAGAACTGATGTGGAAACAAACATTTAAGCTTGTGTAAACTTTGTGCTCTTCACAAATATGTACTTCAGGCAGAACTGTTTTTCATGAGATTAGTATCTCATGGAATATTTATACAGGGACACAGGGCTGCAAGAGACCACTTGGGAGACTAAATGCATTGCTGTGCTGCTGCAGGAAACCTTATTATAGCCAAAAGGCTGCATGGGATGTTAACTACAGAGCAACCACACATGAAAGAGAGAACACTTTGCAACACACCTGCATATTCATATAAACCAGGGAGTACCAGGGACTAGCTGACAGTCACTTTCAGTTCAAGCTGTACTCTGAGTACGAACTTCAAAAAGGTGTGTTCTCTAATAGCTTTCCACCCAGC